ATCAAACACCTTTGTGTAATTTATTGTAATAAAATTTAAAGCCAGGATAGTGGTTCACACCTGTAATCCCAGCTGCTTAGGAGACAGAGATCAGGAAGATTATGATTCCAGGCTGGCCTGAGGAAAAAGCTTAGTAAGGCCTCCATCTCAACAAATAAGCTTGCATGATGGTACATGCCTGTTTTGGTAGCTACATGGGTGACCTACATAGGAGGTTCCTGGTTCCAAAGTCTGCTCCCAGCAAAAAAAAAGTGAGACCTTATGTTAAAAATAACTAAAGCAGAAAAGTGTTGGTAATGTGCCTCAAGTGGTAGAGTGTCTGCCTAACAAACATGAGACTTGAGTTCAAGTCCGAGTACCTCAAAAAGTTTTAAGGCTTTCCCACAAACTGGTCTTCACACTTTGAAGATCACTTGCTTCTTTGCTCAGTGTTCACTTTGGTCCCTTCCATTTGGGTACTTAGGCTTGAAATTACTGGCTTCAGGCTGTGTACATCAAACGAACTTGCTTAGGGCTGGAGGCGTGGCTCAAGTGGTAGAGTGCCTGGCTCACAGGTGCAAAGCCCTGAGTTCAAACCCCAGGATCGACAAAAACCAACCAACCCAACAGCAAAAAACCCTCCTCAGGTAGATGTTGGGGTCAGGCTGGGCTCTCTATAGAGGAACAGACCCAATGGTGTATGTGCGAAGAAGTGTGCATCTGTGTGTGTAATATACATCATTTATCTGCGTATGCTTTTTGGCTTGTATATAAATGTATAAGTATATGAGATTACTTTTAAAGCTTGGGTCACATCCGTACAATGGAAATTCAGAAAAGAGTTGATACAGTTTTAATTTTCAAGTATATATGGCAAGCCTTACGCCAAAACTAAAATAATATTTATGGTGAGCAGTACTCTTGAGTTAGAAAGATATCAACTAATGGAACAGAAAAGAGAGCCCATAAATAAAAGCAAACATACACTATCATCTAAATTCTGATAAACCACCTACAGGACACAATGAGTTTCTCCGTGATGCTGAGAAAAAGGAATATTTCCATGAAAAAAGAATCAAACTGTATCCTTATATACCATCTTCAAAACAGAAGTCAAAATGGACCAAAAGACCTCAAAACTATACCACCCAGAAAAAGAAAAGCATGGAAAGTCTCCTTGATGTTGGTCACGTTCATGATATTTTACATATACCACCAGCAGCTCAGAAAACAAAAGCAGAAATAGACAAGTGCTACCACTGCAGTCAGCCTTTATCTGCACTTTCACTTTCCATGGTTTCAGTCACCCACAGACAACACTGTTCTGAATATATTAAATGGAAAATTCTAGAAATAAACAATTTATAAGTTTTAAATCACTTTTACTACAGTGTATTACTAGAATTAGCCTACTTTGGTATCAGTTACTGTCATTAATCTTTTCGTTGTCCACTTTGTAAATTAAACTTTATCATGGGCATGTCTGCATAGGGAAAATATAGTGTAGATAGGTCTTGGAACAGTCTAGGGTTTCAGACTTTCACTGGGGGTTCTGCAACATATACTCCATGATTAAGGGAGGACTACCATAAGTCAAGCTAAACAGCTTCTGCATGGCAAAAGACATCATCAACAAAATGGAAAGGAGGTCCATGGACTGACAGAAAATATTTGGGAACCATATATCTTGCTAATTTTTTTGACTGGGTGTTGAACCCAGGGCCTCATGCTTGCTAGGCAGGCACACTACCATTTGAGCCACTCTGTCAGCCCAGGGAGCACATATCTGATAGGGATTAATATCCAAAATACACAAGGAACTCAACTCAATAGCAGAAAACCAAACAGCCTTAATCGGTTTGAATGTGAAGTGTCCCCCAGAAGGCTCACGTTTTGAAGGTTGGGTCCTCAACTGGTAGAGCTAATCATTGACAAGTGATTAGATCTTGAGGGCTCTGATTTCACCAATGGATTAATCCACTGATGATTCATAATTTCATGGCATGATTGGGAGGTAGTAGGAATGGGGCCTGGTAGAGACAGTAGGTCACTGGAGGTGTGCCTTTGAAGAATATCTTGTCCCTGGTCCCTTCCTCTCCTCCCCACTATCTCCTTCCTGGCTACCATGAGGTGAGTAGCCTCCACCCTACGCTTTGGCTGCTGCAATGTTTCTGCCTTTCTGCAGACCTAAGAACAATGGAGCCAGCCAACCATGCACTGAAATCTCTGAAACTGAGAGCCAAAATAAATCTTTCCTCTTTGAGGGTGATGGGGGATGGATATGCTCAAAGTACATCATACACGTGTATGGAAATAGCATGACCACACCCACTACAACTGTTTAGAAAGGGTGGGGTAGGAAGGAGAGGAAGGGGTGTCTAAAAAAGTAATGGAGTGAATCTGATAAAAGTACAGTATGTGCATGTGTAAACGTCACAATGAAACTTCTTTGTACCATGAATTTATGGTCATAAAAAGAAATTGAAAGAAAAAGAAAATAAATCTCCTTAAAGTTTCTCTCTGGTTTTAAGTTGTTTCTTTCAGGTTTTTGGCACAGTGATGAAAAGCCTAATAAGACTGATTAATGAGTAGGCTATCATTAACAAATAGGCTGATTACTGAATAGGTTCCAGAAACTGTAAATCTCTGAAACCATGAACCAAAACAGTCTATCGTCCTTTCAAGTTGTTTTTTTGTGTCTGTCACCATGATGAACTCATGTGGTAGTGCCTGTTTCACAGTGAGGACACTATAATTTCACCAGCAGTGTATGACCCTCCAGTCTCCCTCATTTTTGCCAACACTCAGGATGGTCAGTCTTTTTTGTTCTAGTCATTGTCGTAGATGTTAAATGTCCAGGAATTTTGAGAGCTGATTGATTGATTTATTAAAATTAAATTATATAAATAGAAAAGTAATTTATGTTAAAAATAAAGGACGTGTTCGAAGCCAATTCCACCTTAAGTGACCATATTTCACTGTTAGTATGCATTGACATACATCTAGCAGATGTGCCTGGGGGAAATCAGTGTTGTAATGTGAAACCTCAAATGTCTGGTCAGGGTCACCTTCAGTGACAACATGGCGAAGCTTGAGACTGACTGTGGTGGGAACTTGTGCTACCCACATCAGCCAGCCACGGCACAACAGGACTTGGTTTCTTCTTATTTGTTGATTGTCCAGACTTAAGAATGTGATGGGGAAGATGGTAATAATGCAGATTAAACGAGAAGGTCACCTCCATGGCCATGACCTCGTGAATAGCATGAATGTATAAAGTTCTAACACGCATCTTTGTCACTTCACTTTCATCTTATTGAGATAAAGGGTAATAAGAGCTAACACTGATGGTGGGGTACAGATGTACATGCAAGGTTGCATTCACGTTCCTGAAAAGCCAGTTGCGAGTTTATCAGCGCACAGCTGCTTTGAGGCAGCAGTGGGGCAGGTCGCAGCCTGTCTGTGCTGTATGGAAGCAGGATGTTGGGCCTGGCCAGTCTGAGTGATCATGGACTTGGGGAGTGTGGCCAAGGCCAGGCCACCATAAAGCCATCGGAACCTGGAGTGGTGAGAAGTACCTCAGCCCTGAGGATTTGGGAGGGCACAAAACTGGAGAGCACTCTACAGAGGTGGCATTGGCCATGGATTGGGCAGGTAAGCCTGGACTTGAGTCCGTTCTGCCGTCAAGTGAGAAGGCATCCACTCGGTGTCAAAGCCAGGCTTGTCAGTGCAAAGCCAGGCTTCTAAGGGCACCACCTTGGTTCAGGTGCCTGCCTGAAGCCTGGCCAGAAAGGAAAGGGAAGTCAGCCCTGTCTGGGCAGCAGATCTGGGAGGCCCTGTGTTCCCTACTTCTTCAGCAACTCTGACGCCTGGCTCTGCCCAGCCAGTCCCGGCTTTTGTGTCACTTTCTCAGGTGGGTGCTCTCATCAGAAAGCTTGGCTATGACAAGACCTTCTGGCTACTGACCACATCCCCAAACTAGCCTCTGTGGGGTTCCCCCTTACTGCACCCCTCCCCAATCCCACCACTCCATTCTTGCCCAGGTTGCCACTTCTCCCTCCAATAAAGTCCAAAACCTTTCTCCTTTCCTGTCACTTAACTGCCACCTTCCCCTCTCCAGACCCACTCTAGTCCCTTCTCCTCATAAACCAGATCTTGCCCCTCTTCTGCTTATAGACCTCTGAGGCTTCCCCATTGCTGTCAGCATCAGTCCTGGCCAGGTCATGAGGATGGTCTGATGTGGCTGCTGCCTATGCCCCGGCCTCACCATCCTGGCACCTTGTACTTCACAGCAGTTCTAGTCATTTTGACCTACTTAGAGTTCCTGGAACGGGCCCGGCTAGCTCAAGGCTGGAGGCTTTGCTCAATGGAGTCATTTTCAGGTGTGGCCTCCCCACCCCTTCTTACCTACCCCAGCGTTCAGTGACACAGGCCTCTCCTTGCCCACCCCCCAAGACAGGAGTGCCTCAGGGTGGGGCCCCAAAGGCAAGTTAGCCAGCAACCTGAAGTCCAGCTCTCCTAGGACTGTGCCTTCTGTGCCAGCCACCCCATCTCGCCTCTGTTCCTCAGCTCAGCTTTCCAGCCTGGCCTGCCTGGGTGGCCCTCCTGTGGCACTCACGAACTCTGCATATAAGAGGAGGGTTCCTCCCTTTCCTGAGTGGGCATACCAATTCCCTGCTTTCCACAGAGCACAGGCCAAGAAAGGGAAGGGCTAAAGCTGGGCTTGGCACCCAGGCAGGCAGGTGCCAGCCCTGCAGGTTCAGCTACCCTTCAGTTTCCCTCCTGCTCACCTCCCAGGCCCTGTTCACTGATCTCTTGGGCCTCTGGAGCAAAAACATAGAAGGGCAATAATCAAGGTGATGACGAGAGACCTGCCAGGGAGAACATCTCAGGGTCCACAGGCCCAAACTGTCAGCCCCTTGGAACAGCCTGAGTGCTGGCATCTCCCCTCACTATATACCCACAGGACTCACCACAGGAAGAGGTCACAGTCCCTGACATGGCTTCCTGCTTGAGTTCTGGGCAGGAAGTGGGGCACAGGCAGGAAGACCAGTCAGGAAGTCAGCTGGTGAGTAGTTGGTGTTTATTGAGAGACAGGAGGAAGGGTAGAAGCCCTAAAGCCGCAAACTGCTGCAGCATATGGACTGGCCAGAGAGCACACAGCTGGCAGGTGGGGCTGGGAGAAGGCTCTAGGGCTGTGGCCAGTTAGAGCAGGGCTAGGAAAGGCCTGGAAAGTGCTACGGAGGAAGGCCCTGGTCGGCTCCAGCTCCAAGCCTAGGGACTGGCTGGCTGGACAAGGTTAGCACTCAGGCATCAAGGCTCAGGCCGTCAGGTGGCACATACATGGGCTTGATGTGGGCCCAGCTACAGGCCTGCTTATCTGCCCAGGCGAGCAGCTCAGCAGCGCGATGCAGAAAGATCAGGAGCAGGGTGTGCACATCACCCTCAGCTGAGTGGGCTGCGCTCGGCTCAGCCTGGAAGTAGCGGTGGAAGAGGCTGCCCAGGCTGTAGCCCTTGTGGCCTTGAGCCCGGGTGCCATGGCTGTGCGCACGGTCCAGGCCCCGCAGTGCCAGTAGTGTGTCCAGGCAGACAGTGTCCCGGGGCAGGTGGGCACCAAGGCGCTGCAGCTCTGTGCACAGCAGGGGGAAGTCATAATCAAAGCCATTGTGGGCCACAAGGCAAATGGGGCCCTCTTGGCGACTCAGGAAGGCCTGCAGTGTCCGTACCACAGCCCCATCAAAACCAGCCTTTTGGCACCGTGCCAGGCCCTCACTGCTCAGGCCAGTAATCTCACTGGCCTTGGCAGTAAAGGGGCGCTCCGGGCATATGCACAGTGTGAGCTTGTCCAGGACGCGGGGCAGCATGGGGGTACCAGAGTCGTCACGCTCCGGGTTCTCCAGGGAAGAGCGGTGGACAGCAAAGAGGGATATTTCAGCAATCTCAGGATCCACACTGGGGAGCCCAGTGGCTTCTAGGTCCAGGAAGACAAAGGTCTCAGCCCGGGGTGGCTTGGACATGGTGATGTTTGTTCTCACAGGGACAGCAAGGCCTAAGGCTGCCAGAGCAAGAGGCATAAACCTGAGGGCTAGAGAAATGGGAATGCCCATGTCCTGCTACCCACAGCCATCTCACTGGCCAGAGCTCTGATCCCTCCAGGCCTCACTTCTTGCTGCCCTCACCCCACCTCATGGGCCTTCAGCTGTAGGAGTGGTTTCTAAGGCCCACATCCAGGGAGACTTTGAAGGGAACGCCACAGGGCCAGGATCCAGTGGCTACTTTTGTCACCTCTTCCCCCCGCCCCCCCAGAATGGGGCTTCTTACAAATCCGTCACCACTTTTCTGTCCCTCAGGTTTCTCCCTAGCCAGCCCCATTCCTGCCATCAAGTAAGGAGCCGAATGAAGCTTGCTGTGCCCAGGACCCTTTGCCTTTTGCTGCCAGTCCCAAGTTTAGTCACAGTCCCCATCGGGGGTGACAGGTGTGGTCCATGAATAGCACCTTGGCCAATGGGGCCCAACCCTTTCATGGAGACAGCTTGGCTGGGAGCCTTAGGCATAGAGCCATGGCTTCCCCCTGGGTGGGCTGTCAGGAACCAGGCACCTGTGAGAGACACACAAAAGTCCCAGCCTTCTCCCTAGCGAACAACTGCTGCCCCAAACCAGCCTCTGCCTGCCTCCAGGCTCCCGGCAGCTGTCCTTACCAACCCCACCACATTGGCTTACCTGAGGCTGGCAGCAACTGGCTTCCTGGGCTGCTAGGCACCTGTCTCCACACAGGCTGCTCCAGGCGGCCTTTAATCAGTAGCCATGGCCCGCCCCCAGCCTCCTGTTGGGCAACCAGGAGACATGAGGCCACAGGACCTGTGCGGCCGGCTTGCTCACCGCCCCCTCTCGAGCTCACAGCCATTGGGACACACTCCCTGTATTTACAGACTGGGAAGCAGGCTCTAGTCGCACACAGGCTTCCGATGAGTGACAAATGCTGTCATGGACTGGAGGAACATGTCCTCACAGGCAGGAGGAAGCCAGAGCACAGTGGAAGGCTCTGCCCTTTACCCTGCCCTGCCTCCAAGTCTGCTGAGGGCCAGGCTGTGGCTGTCAGGCCTAATGGACATGGATTTGATGCCTAGCCCTATTGCTGGGAGACATCACACAAAACCAACAGGTCCCTTTCTGCATGTGTTGGTTTCTCCCATGAGCAGAGACCAGACTGCCCCTTGTATGACCTATGTAACTAGGAGTGAGACATGCCATGCTCAGTCCAAGAAGAGGAAAGGGTGCTAAGGACAGGACCTTCTTGTTGCCCCAGTCACCAGGGGTGGCTTCTGGGACATGCCCAGTATGGATACTGCCTGGCTGCAGCTCACCCATCTTGAGGGCTAATCTTCCACCAGGAAGAGGAGATGGTATCTGCATCAAGGGCGTTAATGACCCACACTGTCTAACAAGCATTTAGCAGAGGCTGTCAGGGAAGGCAGGGAGGCCAGACAGGTAGGAGCAATCTCCATTGGGCCAAAGGGAGGTCATGAGGCCTGACCCAGAAAGCCCTCTGGGCTGCAGCTGAGCCAATTCTTCCCCTTTCAGAAACAAGCAATGTAAGGGGGTGACTGGGAGGCCCCCTGACCCCAGGCTCTGAGACCTTCCCCACCCCACCTGGCTCCTGCTCGGGGTAATGTCAAGATAGGAAAGTGGCAAGGTCATCCATGGCCCAGGAAGCAGGTAGCATTCTAAGAACCCAGCACTTGGTAGCTGGGGCACAGGGAGGCAACCAAGATGCTGCTCCTGCCCACTGGAGGCCCTTCTGAGTGAGTCCCTTGGCTGGCTGGTAAAGCAACTGGTTTACTTGGACAGTGGTAAGTACAGCTGCCTGTTCTCAACTTCCCCAGTACCAGTCAGGGGGATGCCCCAGGTGATGAGGCAGGGGGGCCTGCCTCTAGGGAGCCTTCTTGCCTGGAGTACACATAGAGGGACCTGGGGAGCAAAGGGAAGATTCAGGGTGCAGGGCAGAGCGGGCAGCCATAGGTGCAACAATGAGCCCCATCAGTTGTGCTTGTTCCCATGCTTGAAGGGAGGGAGGTGGCTATGACAGGTACACTACTCAGGGAGATACTGGGTCACCCTGGGAATCCCAGAGAACAGTTTCCTGGACAACCAGTCAGGCCACATCAAGGATTCTCCAGTGGGTGCTGAGCATCCTGAGGAAGGAGGGGACTGGCTAGCTCCCAGGGACACACTGAGGAGTATTCATGTAGGACCCCAAGGCTGGCCACGGGGTGAAGGAAGCATGGGCAGGGAGAGAGAAGGCAAGCCCATATTAGCATGCTACAGAGACCACTGGGGCTAGACACGGCCAACCTTAACCAGACAGTGGCAAGGAGTGGAAGCAACAGGGGAAAGGGTAGGGCCCAGGCCTTCTGGGATAGCAGAAGGGCTTCAGCCAGAATGGCTATGGACCTGGGACACTGGGGATAGGAAGAGGGAAGGGATAAGCAGCCCAGACCAGATGGGAGAAAAGTGACACAGAGTGATAGAAGTAAACAGCAGGCTGGAGGCAACTTCTTAAAGCCTGAGGTTTCCTTTCTCTCCAGCTCCAACAGCCCTGCCCACCTCTGCCCTCCCCTCCCTCCAAAAGAGCTGAAGGCAGCAGACAAATTGAGAACCACATGGGACCATAAATGCTTCTCCCATACTGGCTCCAGGGAGGACTTTGTGTTCCCATACTATCCTGTGCCTTTGTGCAGGCTGTCATTGAAGATCTTGTATTTCTGTGTAAGTTCATCCATTTTAGTGGCTGCAAGGGAAAAAAAAACACAAATAGAAAAGTGAGTCTAATGCTTTCTGATATGAGAGAGGCGGAGGTGCGCAGTCTACTCCAGGGCCACCTCCTGCCCTCCCACCAGAGCCCCATGTCCTCCACAAATTCTCCTCAGGCATGACCAGGTGACAGGGAGGAGGCCCCCACCTGGTCCTCAAGGGATTCAGAGACTGAGTGCCAGACTTCCATTGTGACCTAGAAACTGCTGAGCTGTGAAGCTGTTTAGGGGGCCCCTTTGTGGGTGCGGGACCAGCAGCCTAGGTCCTGGGCTAGGTCATACCAACCACCGCACAGAGCTAAGGTTCAGGCAAGGCCAAGTCCCTACTCCTCAGAGCCCCGGGAAGGTAACACAAAGCAAAGAGCCAGAGCTTATTCTGTTTTCGGTGTGCTCTAAGTTTATTAGATGAGCTGTGTGTACATGTGATAACAAACCCAAACAGAACACATCTAAGGCCTTAGTTGAAGAACGCCAATCTCTGCTGCCATACCTGGAGGCAGCTGCTGTGACCCCAGCTGCCCAGTTATTGGGGGAGGGAGGTGTCAGCTGTAACCAGATCTGTGTCCTCAGGAACCCACTTTGGCCAATGACTACTGGATGCTAATAAGGGGCTTTTGCTCACTACCCTCCCCCACCTGAGTTAAGTTCCTCCTTTGGGCTTTTCAACTTTTTTTTTGGAGACAGTCTTGCCATGTAACCCAGGCTGGCCTCGAACTCTCAATCATACTGACTCTACCTCCCAAGTTCTGGGATTAGAGACGTGCACCTTCACAAAAGGCTAGATTTTCCTAACTTAAATACAGTCCTGCTTCTTTTTCTACCAACTTGACTCCCTGCTCCTGGCTTCTCATCAGAAAGAAAATGACATGCCCTCTCTCCTGCCCTGCCTGTCCTCTTCCCTTCTACAGCTCCACTCTATTAGCTCCACTTTGCCTTTCACATGTCAAGGTCATTAACATTGACATTTGGCCCAGTGATAGCCCAAATCTGTCATCCTCCTCCCATCCCAAGAGTGGCTCTGAAGCTCAGGACCCATGGGGTGTGCCTCAATGTGATGCCCAGGCAGGTGGACTTCTCCTTGCAGAATTTAGACCATGCTTGGGCCATCCTGAACCATGCTCTGAGGACATCCCCCCACCACCTCTGCCACACTTGCCATCACTACTTCCAGTGGCACCCTAGCTGAGCAGGCTTCCTGTGGCAACTTGCATCATCTGCAGTTGCCATTTTCCTACATGCCTGCCCTTCCTTTGGGTGGCATCTGCCTGTATCAAATCCTGGGATGTTCTCAGTGCCTATGCCACAGGCATAGCTACTAGCCCAACAGCTTACACCTTCCCACCTGGTGGGAGAGGCCTGTTTTTGTCCTCACTCTTTCTTGACAGTGTTTGGTGGGGTCCAGAATCTGAGGCCCAAGGGGCCTGGTCATCAGCACTCATAAAGCACTGTCATGGTCTTTCTCTTTTGAAGCTTTGACCCCAGGGCATAGTTTTGGTACTCCAGGTAGGTTCCGTCTGCTCTGGGCTTGGGATGTGGAGACATGTCCACTTCAGTTCTGCTCACTCTCGTCTCTCTGCAGACTGGAGCCAGCCTCCGTGCCACTTAGCCTGGTGCTCCCTTTCCTCTCTGTTTTACACATTCACTGTTTCCTGCTTCTCCTCATTTTGTTTTCTGGCCTTTCCTCATTGCTGGTCATCAGAGTTGTCTAGGTATGTTTGGATGTCATGCTGTTTGGTTGGGTATCTTTGAAAATCTCCAGGCCAGATTTCCTGCACATCCAGGTCGTTTCATTTCATAGTGCCCCTGAACTGCTGTGGTGGCCAGCAGTACCCTTTCCTGTATGGTCTCTCCCTGGCAGGGGTTTGAAGGAGGTGTTTCGGGTAGGGGTGGGGGCACAGGTTGACAGGAAGATCCAGCTTTAGGGGAAAGCAGACAGGGGTCAGTCATTACCATAGGGACCCTCAAGATGTGGGCTTCACCTAGGTTGCTGCAAGCCACACCAGGAGCTTGGTTTGCTTATCCATTTCCATAATTTTATTCACAAAAGAACAGGGTAGGGTCTTACTGGAGGGCATCCGCCTGTGCAGTCATCCCCTCTCTACAGACCTGCTTCACCTGCTTTTTCCTTGGGACAGTGGCTAGGCCTTAAGACTACAGTAGTTAGTTGGTTAGTTCTATCAGGCAGACCACTGCTCCCCTGGGCTATCCTATCACTGTACCTTCACTACCTGTGGCACCAGCAAACCTTTACTCTCTACCTTCTACAACTGTCCACAACACTCCTGTATTGGTGCCATCAATGCCCTGCCCCATTCTCAGCACTGACAAGGTTGCTCTGTCGTCCCTTGCTTTATACTCTGGGATATGTCACCAACATAGCTCAGCTACTGATGCCCAGATCAATGGGATGAAAAGCTACACAGAAACACAGACCTTCCCTAAGTAGAAGGGAAGTCACTGCTTGAGTATGGCATTGAAAAGAAGACCCTCAATGTACTAGGTAAAAAAAAGGCAAAAAGTAAAGGACCATTTCAAGTGGCCTTTGGAGTGGATGTGACACTGTTCCCCTTGTCTGGGCATGTCTGGAGCTTAAGAATTTGTTTCAACTGGGCACCAGTGGCTCATGCCTGTAATCCTAGGTACTTGGGGGGCTGAGCTTAGGAGGATCACAGTTTGAGGCCAGCCCAGGCAAAAAGTTCACAAGACCCCATCTCAACCAATAGCTGGGCATGGTGGTAAGTACCTGTTATTCCAAGCTATGAAGGAGGCTGACAGCAGGATTGTGGCTCCAGGCCAATGAGATCCCATCTCAACAGAAAACAGCTAGGCATGGTGGGGCACGCCTGTCATCCCAGCTACCGCAGGAAGTGTACAATAGGGGGATTGTGGTCCAGGCCGGCCTGGGCAAAAATAGCAAGACCCTATCTCCAAAATAACCAGAGCAAAAAGGCCTGGAGGCATGGCTCAAGTGGCAGAATGCCTGCCTAGCAAACATGAAACCCTGAGTTCAAACCCCAGTACTGCCAAAAAATAAAAAAAAATTGTCTCAAAACAAATCGGGAAGTTACATTCACAAGAGCCAAGTCAGGAGCCCCAGGTAAGGCATTGTTCCCCTCGTGGTCTCCAGATCCCCCCGGCCATTGGTAGCCAAAGCATAGGATGGGAGCTGCCCAGTTCACACAGCTACACACAGAGGTGCCTAGCTGAAAAGCCAAACCTGCCACCAGTCCTACTGTACTCTAGTCACTAGTGAGATGGCACACTATTAAGAATATTAATGATCATTATTATAGTAATGATAGCATGGATTATAAACAATTTATTAATAGCAATTATATAGGCTGCAGTGAGAGCCACAGTGACAGTGGTGATTAGGATAAATGCTGTAATAAACTTTAGACTGGAGGATTCTGTTATAGTTCAATCAGTAAGAGGAATCTCCAAAGAGTCTGATATACATGTGGCAGGTGTGTACCAAGGCCAAGAGCAGTAAGAAGAACAGTTGCCAGAAGAAAGGGTCAGATGAAGAGTTCATCCAAACACTCTTCAAAGGGAGGTGGCTCACAGGCTATGTAATGGAAAGCCAGTATGTGGGGACACCAAAGTCACAAACATCCATAGTCAAATGCTTCAGTTGCTGCTTCCTGATAGCAGTCAGGGCAAACAATTGACTAACCAAAATCCTGGAAGCAAATCCTGAAGAATGAGTTGTTTACAAGGGCTCTGAAAAGCTCTGGCACAATTCTAGGAATCTACATGGCCATGTGCATGCCCAGGACTGTGAAAATGCCCAGGAGAGACCTAAGAAGGCCCTGAGTCCTCACCTCTAGCTGACCTTGAGACTCTGAGCCAGCAACATATGAAAGAAAGGGTTGTTAACTGGTTGGCTAAGTGCTCATGAAAAATAGGAATGTATACATCTAAAAAATCCAAAGAGCTCCAAATGGGATAAACTCAAAGTGAGTCATACCACAATACATTATAATCAAACTGTCAAAAACCAGAGGCCAAGGGAATTATGAAAATATGAAAGACACTCATCATGTATAAGATCCTCATTAAGAATAAAAGCTGGTTTCATATCAGAAGCTATGGAGGCAGTGACAATGGGATAATATATTCAAAATATGAAAGGAAAGAATTATCATCCAAAAATTCTATATCCAGCCAAACTTCCAAAAATGAAGGAGAAAGTAAGAGATTGTCAAATGAACAAAAACCAAGGGAGTTTGTCACTAGTGGCCCTTCCCTACAAGAAATACTAAAGGTAGTCCTCTAGACTGAAATGAATGAATACTAGATAGTAATTCTAATCCACATGAAGAAATAAAACACTACAATAAAGGTAACAACATGGGCAAATATCAACGTGAGTATAAATGTATTTTTGTTTGTGACTCTTCTAATTTAAAAGGCGATTGCATGCAGCAATAATTATAAATCATCTGTGCTGATAGACTACAATATATGAAGTAACAATTTGTATAAAAACAATAGTGCAAAGAAGAGGATAAGGAAAGAAGTTATATCAGAGCAAAGCTTTTGTATACTATTGAAATTAACTTGGTAGCACATTATTTTAAGTTAAAATGTTAGCTGTAATCCTAAAGATAGAATTGCTGTATGATCCAGTGATACCGCTCCTGGGCATCTACCCAAAAGAACGTTAAGTCAGGATACAATAGAGACACTTGTACACCGATGTTCATCGCAGCACTGTTCACAACAGCCAAGCTTTGGAAACAACCCAGATCCCATAAAACTGATGAATGGATCATGAAATTGTGATACATACACAATGTAGTATTACTCAGCCGCAAGGAACAATGACATGGGGTTTGAAGGTAAATGGATGCAATTGGAAGACATCATGTTAAATGAAGTAAGCCAGGATCAGAAAGACAAAGGCCGTGTGTTTTCTCTCATACATGGAAGATAGATCCAAAGATCAACGTATACACAAAATCAAACATGATCATACACAAACTCATATGTAAGACACGTTTGTAATAGTGGAACTACTCTATGGAACTCGGTGAAGGAAGAAAAGGAAAAGAGAATGATAAGAGCATCAGTAATATCATAAAACATAACATCTGTGAAGGTAGAGGATATAAGGACGTGTATTGAAAGCTGTTGAAAAATGGGGGATGGGAAGTAAAGGGGTAAGGGAGAGTAATGGAAGGGGTTGAATGGACCAAAGTAAAGTATACCCACAGCAGGCATACATTGAGAAACTCTTTTGAACACGAACTTAGATACTGACAACAAAAGACAGGAGTGTAACATAGGTACAGTGTGTGGGGTGGGGGGGGATACTTCTGGGAAGGGGGGAGGGTGAACGAAGGAGATTAAGGTGAGGGTATATGGTGCATGGACTTCGTATATGAAATAGAACAAATTGCTTTAAGTGGGGCAGGGAGGGTATCAATAGGGAGAGATGTTAGGGGTGATCTAATTTATGTACAATATAAGCCTATCTGGATTTGTCACAATTGAATCCCCCCTGTACAATGAATATAACCTAATAAAAAAGTAATGAAAAAAAAAGATGTTAACTGTAATCCTAAGAAAACAGAGTTAAAGAAACAATATGGGACTACATGTGGTGGTCCATGCCTATAATTCCAGCACTCAGGAGGCTGAGGCAGGAAGATCATGAGTTCTAGGCTAGCCTGGGCTACATGATGAGATCGTCTCAAAAAAAAAAAAAAAACAAGGGGCTAGAGATGTGGCTCAAGTGGTTGAGCACCTGCCTAGCAAGTGTGAAACCCTGAGTTCAAAAAGGAATTAAGTGATGCACTAGGAAATATCTAATACTAAAGAAGAAATAGAGGATTAAATAAGATCTAAGAATTATAGAAAACAAAGAGCAAGATGGCAGACATAAACCTGACCTCATCAGTAAGTGTTGATTAAAGCCCAAACAAAAGGCAGAGATTGGCAGAATGGATAAAAGTCTGGCAATACTTCAAGAAATTAAACATGGAGTCACCATATGACCCAGCAATTCCACTCTAGGTACAGACCCAAGAGAACTGAAAGTATGCTCGTACAAAGAACTGTACACAACGCTTACAGCAACATTATTCGTGATAATCAAAAAGAAGAAACAACCCACACATCCACAAACAGATGACTGGATTAGCATGTGCACACAGATCAGTCATAAAAGGGACACAGTATGTGGATGAACCTTGAAGCCATTATTCTCAATGAAAGCAACCAGACACAAAAGGCCACATACTGTATGATTCCATTAACAGGAAATGTCCAGAAGAGGCAAATCCACAGCAATATGTGGATCAGTGGTTGTCAGGGGCTGGGGGGAAGTGGGGTGTACTGGTAATGGTATGGAATTTCTTTCTGTGATAATGAAAATGTTATGGACTTAGATAGTAGTGGTGGTTGCACAACTCTGTGAATATCCTAAAAAAAATAGCCTGGATTATACACTGCTAAAAGGGTGACTTTTGTTATATGAATTACAGTTAGGTAAAGCTGTTATTAAAAATAGTGTAGCTCAGTGGTAGAGCATTTGTCTAGCATGAAAGAGGCCCTGGATTTGATCCCCAGTGTAAGGAATAAAAGAAGGGGAGAGGAGGGGGGGGAGGAGAGGGAGGGAGGGGAGGGAAGAGGAAGGGAAGGGAGGGAGAAAAGGAATGAACAAGATAAGGAAACTACATTTACCTTTTTCTTGGGTTTATTTTGCCATTTATTTTCTAGTCTCCTAAAATATGATGCTAGTACAAAGGTAGAAAAAAGGAAATAGAACAGAATAGAGAACCCAGATATTCACACAGTTACTCATAACTAACAGAGGTGATGGCATTGTAGACCAATAGGGGAAGGAGTGGATTTCCATTAAATGGTTCTGGGTCAAATGCAGATCCATATAGAATAAAATGAAATTGGACCTCCACCTCATGCTACAAAAAAATCAACTCTGGGCAGACTACTAATCTACCTGTAGAAGGTAATGCTGTAAAGCTTTTAGAAGATTGTATGTTTCAGTAGGAAAGTACTCTTCAGTAAGAGTCAAAAGACACGATCCATAAAAGAATTATGGCTGCATTTAACTACATTTAATTTAAAAACTATTGCTAAGCCCACATGGTAGCATATGCCTGTAACTCACAAAGGGACTAAAGAGGCTGAGGAGGAGGATTGTGAGTTCCAGGCCAGCCTGAGCTGTATATAGCAAGACTCTGTGTCAAAAGAAAGTTTAAGTTCAGATACAATTTGCCCCTATCCAATAGCAGAAATGTTCGAAGGGTCAACACCAGTGCTGAGAAAGACAAAGCATGACGGAAATCACTTGAGCCTAATAACGTGACCTCACTAGCACATGTGAGCCCGGAGCTAAGGACATAGCCAGCAGTAAGGGCAATAGTAATCTATTATGAGGGGACATCCATGTCTAAATGTGTTCACTGTGCAGTTTTTTAAAAGACTGACAATCAGAGCTGGAGGCTTAGCTCAAGTGGTAGAGTGCTTGCCTAGCAAGTGCAAGACCCTAAATTCAAACCCCAGTACCACAAAAAAAAAGATCGATAGCCAAAGGGGAAAATAACCTAAGTACTACATGCTCATTGCAGAATATCTGAGACTAGAAAGAAGGCTAAAGAAATTAACCAAACTACATTTGACCCCAACACAGAGAAAATCAATGTCCATATTCTGGTTCATTTACCTGATGGTTTCTTCTACATTCTTTTTGTTTTACAGAGGTGAAACCATACAGTATTTGTTTCTTAACTTGCATTTTTCCTTTAACATTTTATAGTATGCATTCCTTCATGTCACTGTAACCAACTCTTTAAACAAGGACTATTATCTCACCATATAGATATTCTGTTATTTACCAAGCACTGTCTGATGTTACAACTTTGGATTGTTTCCACTTTCTATTATGAATCCTATAATAGCATTATGTATAATTGTAAAAAACTGAAAATGGGCCAGCAGATTGGCTCAAAAGGTAGAGCACCTGCCTACCAAGCACAAGGCCCTGAGTTCAAATCCCAGTACCTCCAAAAAAAACCCCAAAAAATGAAAATGACCTACAGACTCAGTAATAGAAAGTGTTAAACAAATTGTAAAAAATGTCTAAATGTAATAATAGTATTTGACTATTAAAATAGGGAACTAGAAAAATGCTTATAAAGAAGTTAAAGGAGAAAAACAAAAACTGTATAGATGTTAACTGTTATAAAAACAAATTTAAAAAATGATAGTAGGAAAAAGAACAGCAGGAAACTAGCCACCTCTGGGTTGCCAGGGTGTGATTCATTTTTTTTTTTTTTACCTCTGTATATCTCTGGGTTATCCCAATTTCTTACCATGAATGTTTTTATTTATAACCTGTTGAAAGCATTTTTTCAAGGAAGGAAAACATGCATTAGGAAAAGAAGAAACAACTAAGGGGCCAATCACCCAAGGCTCCCAGATGGTTAACCAACCACCACACAAAGAAAATCTCATGCATGAAACAGGTCCTAAGCTGCATAGGTGGTGGGAAAGCTGTCCCCCAACCCCCCCAGTCACATACCTAAGCTCATCACGGAGCTCCTGCTGCCCCAACAGATCTGCTCTCCTTCCTGCTTCTTTACCATCTCCACAGCTTTTGCAGAGGTTTCTGTGACCTCCATTACTGCTTTCAATAGCTGGTGAAGAGGAAGAGAGGAGGACATGTGGGCACTCAGTGCTGCTGGTCTGACCTAGAGAGGGCACCTCATCCTTCCCACACAAGCTAACACTGAGCATGTGGCATTCACCCATCAAAGGCAGTGAAGACAAAGGGACAGAATTTCTGGCTGTAGAGTCACCCATCAAATCTAAGTCTCCTTCCTCCTGACCTAGTGACAACACCACACTATCAAGCCACTCTGGCAACCCTCAATGTCTAGTGACATGTCAGCACTGAGTGTCATCCAAGTCCAATCAAAGCAAATGGCAACATGAGAAAAGAAATATCCCAAGAAAAAAGGGTCTCTTTTCAAGGGCTGGGGGACTGGCTCAAGTGATAGAGCACTTGTCTAGCAAGCGTGAGGCCCTGAGTTCAAGTCCCAGTGCCATAAAAAAAGAAAAAAGTGAGTCTCACACACTAGCTGGCCTAAAGTTGGGAATTCTTGGAGTCTTTCTGTTAAAAACCCAAAATAAACATCATGGAACCCTCGAGATAATGTCAGAGTTCTGCACGTGGCAACTCTAGTGACTGTAACTAACCCCAGCATTTGAGGTTGCCCTCTAAGGATCTGATATGTGGAACAACAAAATAAGTAAGCATTTCCTTAGTCAGCTTAGCCCCATAAGATGACTTTCTCCTGTTTTGTTTGAGCAAGCCTTTGTCTGCCTGCCTGTCTGGCATAGTACTGGGTAACACACAAGACTGAAAGTATGTTTGGGCATAATATACAAACATAGTGAGACCAAAATGGACAGAAACTGGAGGCTGGGATGTCATACTGAGTCAAGTAGGACCCAATGCACAAACCTCAGTGGATTCCATGGCAACGATGTCCACATCAGCTATATCCCACCCCCAGGGCACCAGAAGTGCCTGTCCCAACCCACCAAACATTCCAGACCCAGACCCCTACCATGCCTCTGGCTCAGGGAACCCAGGCCAAGCCCTCCCAGCCCCTCACCCCAGGCATTGCATCCCCTGTCCTGATGTGGGGGGGGGGGCAGCAGGAAGAGGAAGAAAATTCTTACTTGGCTGCAGGACATCAGAGTCTGATACACGGCTTGGATGATGGGGCCGCACGAGTGCAGGTCACGGCGTGGGCGCTGGCAGCACTCACCCAGCTCATCGTCATAGACTTGGAGGAAGGCCAAGATGAGCTGGTGGAAGTCAGAGACGACCAGGCGCAGCTTCTGGTCTAGGGTGCTGGTGTCAGCCACACCTGCAGTGGCCCCTGGCTTATGTTGTGCAAAGCACTGAAAAGTCAAGGGGGTAGTCCCTCAAGGCTGCCTGCCTGGCCAGCCTGGGCTGCGGTGAGCCCACATCTTAAACACCAGACAGGTGGGATGAGGAAGAAAGCCTCCATAAAGAAGGAGATGGAGGAAATACATGGAGCCTCAGCCCTCAGTCTCCATAATCAGGGAGGCCCAGCCAAGGGCTGAGAGGGCTGTGCATAAGGCACATGAAAGCACAGAGTTCTGGCCTGGTGCATGGCTGCCATCTGAGGTGGATCCCTGCCCTCCTTGGGAAAGAATTTCAGCTCATGTGCAGAGACTTGCTCCCCAGGGCTCAGCCTCAGTACCCAGCCCCCCAGTTCACGTGGACTGAACCTGCCATCTTCAAGTCCTGTGCAAGAGCCACCTCACTGAAGCCTCACAGCACACCACCCTGGAGGGTGATGTCACTTGTCCCAGAACATAAAGCAGGACCTAGTTCCCAAGCCCCACAGCCCCCTAGAGTTAATGTCCCTCACCTCTTTCCTGAGTGCCTGCAGCTTGGTAGCACTCTCCTGCAGCTGCCTGGCCAATTCCGCCACCTTCTCCTCCTCTGACTTGGCAGAGGAGCTGGGCCTGTGGGAAAGAAAAGGGACTTAGCTCTCTGCCACTGCTGAGTAGGGCATCCTGCAGGCCATACACCCAAGGGTGACAGAACCAAGCATGGTTGGAGCTGGGACAGAAACCCTCCTGGACACCTACCTTTGCCAGTCATCACTCTGATTGTTGAGAAGGGGCTGCATGTCCAGGGGCCATGGGTCACACTCAGGGCTTAGGAGTGTTGGCAGGTGGGGGCTGGAGAAGAGCTCCCCCAGCAATGCCTCATTCTTCTCTGTGGTATCCTCGAAGTGCTCCTTTAAGCTGC